TATTCGATTGTGCACCGAGTGTTCGATTTCGAACATAATAGCAAGGTGGTGCTAGCGAAGGTAATGTCAATGATCGATCCCCGACCGTTCTTCTCGAACGTATTTTGATTTCTGGTATTTAATAACACCATGTCTAAGGACRAGAAGGCCTTTAGCAGAGCATCTCCACGCCTATTTGTGCAAATGCTACCCCACTCCATTGCCCATGCCCACGTTTCTTGTAGTAGACAGARTTTYTCTGACTAGTTCGTCCAGGATTTTCTCAAAATCAATTTGCGATATGTTCGGCGGTATGTAACAGCTATAAAAATTTATCCCACCGATTCTCGCTCGTGTGTAAAAAGATTTCACTGATAGCGGTTTGTCCTGAAACATTACTCCTCCACATGCCCATATAGCAGCTTTGTTTGTGTCGTCAAAGAACCATGTCGCGTCGCTTATGTTTTTGTACTGCTCGCAAAATCTAGCCACATCGACTTTTTTCTCGTAAACCGTCTACTTAAGAAGCTCTTGTGCAGCCTCACAGTGGTTTAGATTGAGTTGCATCACTCTCATTTTTTGATGTTTTTACACGCCTCTTGATAAAGAGGACACTTTTTGCTTACTATTTGGTGGTCGATGTTTTCCTTGCCCTTTTTCTTACAAGCACTGCATGACGGGTTTTTATTACATGACTTCGCAAAGTGTCCAGTTCCTCCACACTTGACACAGCACTCGCTCCTGTCAGCTGGAAGTTTGGAAGCATTTCCAACTAAATGCTGACAAAACATATGCAAAATGCATTAAGTGCCAAAAATTATATAAAACTATTGGAAATACTTCCAACTTAATGGACCGTCTTAAGCGTGCTCATTCTCTGCACGCCGAGCAGGCGAAGGCCGGCAGTACATTGAAATTTTTTTTAAAATGCTGACATCTACGGCAATAATTCCATGCGGATAGCAGACGCTGATTTGACGTTGGCAAGAATGGTTGCTATAGATGTACAACCATTTCGCATTGTCTAAGATCAAGGATTTAGAGAGCTCGTTCGGTATCTTGATCCTCGATATGAACTACTATCTCGATATACCATTCTGAATTTTCATATACCAAAGCTTTATGAAAATGATAAAACTACATTACAGGTCATTCTTAATGAAATTGAAAGCTGTGCTATAAGCACTGATTGTTGGTCCTCGAAGGCAAATGAAAGCTATTTGACCGTTACGTGTCATTTCATTGATGGTGATTTCAAAATATTTTCCAAAAAGTCAACTGCGTGGTTACACACAACGCTCCATCAATGTTTAAAGCCTGTGAACTGCTTCAGAACAGGCATCTGCCGTGCTTTGCTCATTCCATCAATCTTGTAGTACATCTTGTAGTACACCTTCTGTCTACTGAAAAAGTAAAAGCATTATTGAATTCCAAAGTCATTGTAGCATATTTCAAAAGCAGCACTATTGCATATGCAAATTAAAGAAAGAACATGGTAGTTAAAAACAGTATAGCCTTATTCAAGAAGTTTCAACAAGATGGAGATAGCGCGTTTGCTATGGTTTTARGAACACCAAAAGCGCAGTACGATAGAAATAGAGCAACTTCATATTTAAGCGTTTTATCGGGTAATAAATATGTGACGATTTCGCATATATGTAATTCCCATTGCATGAGGATTGCACTCAACGTTAATGAAGATTCAATCAATATTGAAAACTTTTGTTGGATCRGAAGCATAGTTATACTTATGCGACAAAATTAAACAGAGGCTATTTCCATATGAATCCAGAAGTGCTACTAGGTTATTCACCTTGCTATATCCGAGATTTAAAAAAAAAGGGTTTCAGTCAGGTCAAAATTCGACCCAAGCGTCTATGTTGCTGGAAAACGAATTGGTTGAAATCAACAGAATTGCAACATCGTCATCGAATGACAACAGGGAACCGTCGGCATAAAAAAGCGTTAAAACTCCACAGATTTATGAGTTTTTGGCAGAGAAGCTATCCAGCAAAGTCAAATCCAACAGAACGTATGCTATCATCACACTACGCGAATACACTGAAAAAAGCAATGAGCCGCTAGATGTAGACCCATTGGATTACTGAAAGGTAGCAATGACATTTAGTGTAACGCTTACATAAACAAACATTTCCCAATTTCAGACTAGATCCACTGAAATGAAGTCAATGCAAATCATGGTATGAAAATATTTGTGCATTTCGGCAACTTCAACGAAGTCTGAGCGTATGTTCAGCAAAGCTGCACAATTAGTCTCAGACAGACGAACAAGACTGAAGGAAAAAAACTTAGATATGTGGTTATTTATCAACAAAAATTACGAAATGTGCTAATATTAATCTCTTTAAACCACTGAGTGGCTCTTTGATCTCCGTTTTAACATAAACTTAAGCTTTCAACTTATATTGTAAATGAATTTATTAAAGTGTTTTCTTTAATGTGAAAATAAATATGAGTTAGTTTGTTCTTGGAAAGACAGGTTTTATGTAATATTAATTTCTTATTAATTAAAGTATTCTGCTGACCAAGCAGTAATACCGTGTTAAGTTACAATCTGTTTACATTTATCATAAAGTGTATGTGTGGCTGCTGCCGTTAAATTGCATGCATTCATACATAATTATACTCATATCATAATTATGTTTACATGTCAATAGTGAATTTCTGAGGGCAAAACGCAAAAGCCTACAGCATACATACATATGTATATACTAGTCAAACTATCGATACGAAGTAAGCATAATTCAATATTCCATTTGTTCTGATAATGAGAATAATTGGAAATTCAATGCTCTGGCATTTCATTACTTAATGCAATGCCAAAGAATTTTTAGTAATAAGCCGTTACACATAGAATTCTAAGAATATAAATATAATGTATGTAAGTGACTTTACTAATAAATATCAGTGTGTAATCGGCGAGCGCAGTGAGTGACTCAGTATATACAGTAATAAACCCTTGCTTTATTTACATACTCGTGCATATGCTCAACTCTAGAAAATCTTAGGGTGTTGTGTAACACTTTTTTTGCTACTTTCATGGTAATCAGGGTGTTGTGTTAGCATTTAACATAACATTTCTACATATAAACTTTAAATATTGGTGATAAACCCTTTACAAGATATTAAATAATGCAAGTATTTAGGTTATTTAAGTGATTATATTCAATTACTTTGCATATCTGTTAAATTTTATTGAGATATTACTTGTTTTTTAATGTTAAATCAGTTGTTTTTTTTTTTTTTTGCAATTTTTAAACACGCTTCAAGTATTCTAATTTTTTGCAAGCAGTAGGATACAATCATGGGTGGTATTTATCGTTTGGCATATACAAATTGACAACTCGTTAGCCGTTATAGGAAAACATAAATTGGAAATTAAAAAGAAAGATATGGCAAATTTTTTAATAAGAATACATATTAGTGTTATTAAT